GCATCCCTCCGTTCTCCTGCAGACACGGCGGTATTAAGGGCCATCTGAGCAGAGGAAGCCACACTTGGGCCGAGATGTGGAGAAAATGCCGACGACGAAATTCAGATCGGGGGACGCCACGACGCTGTGATGTTTTAATCAGCGGAATATTACCTCCTGCTGGTCTGACCTGGAGGATCAAGGTGTTCCAGGCCGGACCAGCATCAAAGGCGTGCGTGCTGGGCACCTGGCCGGGCCCGTGGCCCAGCAGGAGCCCGGCTCCTCCCCTCCTCCACAGCGGGCCGCTCGCTCTTCCCCAGACAATGGCAACGCTGCAGAGGAGGAGCTGGGGGGGCCCCGGGCCTGGCTGGCTTGCTCCCCAGTTTCCTGCCTCCCCTGAGGGGTGTGCTGACGTGGGGCGGGCAGCTCGTCCGAGCAAGACGGACTTCCTGCCCACTTCAGCGCCAATGAGTCCGTGGCAGCAGGCAGTTTGTACAAAACTGACCAGTTTGATGCTTCTTGCGTGCCACTTTGAAGAAATGTGCAAAATACAGTGACTTGTACAATGTGTGTGAAACGACACGAATTCTACCAATGTACATAGAAGCATAGAAACAGAGCAAGTCAGAAGGGGCTCCGGTGCCATCTAGTCTGACCCCGGCTCCAGCCAACTCCGCTCACGACATGCCCGCCATGTGCACGTTCAGCCTGTCCTTGAGCCCCCGCACCGAGGGGGCCTCAACGGTGCAAGTTGTGGCATTTGTGCAAAATCCTGCAGCTTTGTCAGAACATGCAGCCCCTCTTTGAGGTGGGAGTCCACGAGCCGGCCAGGCTGGCGGAACAGAGAGTCGCGGCCAGTGCCAGTGCCGGGCTGGCAAACCAGAGCCCGGGGGCCACACTGCAAAGGCATCGGCCTTTCGGCCCCCTCGGCACTCCTCCGACCCGCCCCTGCCGAGCCAGCAAGCGGCGGAGGGGATCGCGGCAGGGTGCGGGGCGCTCCGTGGGGCCCGTCCCACTCGCCTCTGCAGCCCTCCTCTGCTGGCCCGCCCGAGTCCCACATCCAGAGGCAGGGAGTTCCACGGAAAGGGGCCAGCGGCTGGCAGCTCCCCGTGCCAAGGGTCCACGTGGGACAGACTGTCCAGGGGTCCTGGTCCCACGCTGTGCAGGGCTTCCTGGACTAGTGCTAGGAACATAAACTTCAACCAGGGGAGCGCTTATTTATTTACTTAGAATATTTTTGCCCATCCTTAGTGCAAGGTCAGAGCTGAGCAAAGGAATCCTGGGGGAGGGGTGGTGAGAGGAGCAGCAGGGGGGCGTTTGCTGGATGTGTGGTCCCTGTTAAAAAGCCCCCTCCTCTCGTGCGGCTGGGGGTGGGTGCTGGGAAGGCACAGAACTTTTGCTGGCATGGAGGGGGGCCTCGCCTGCTCCGGCCCGGGGCGGCCTGACCGAGCCTGGACCACCTCGCCTGCAGGTGTGCAAGAGAGGGAGGCAGGCGGCAACAGCCCTGTGTGGGGAGAAGTGGGGAGAAGCAGCCCCGCTGCTGAGGCAGGAGCGCTGTGCAGGCCCAGGCACGCTCGGTTTAAGTGCAGACCGTGTGCCCACATGAAGCCAGAAGGGAGAAGCTGCCGGGAAGGGGGTCCCGTTGCCAGATCCCAGCAGAGGAGGTGCCTCCGGGGGCGGTGGGGGGGCGGATTGGGAGCCTCTCCATCGCAAGCATCCGACAGAGAGGTCACACTACTGCAGGGCCAGACAATCAAACCATAAGCAGGAACATCCTCTGCCCACGTCTGTGGCTCAGAAGGCCACCACTGCAGAGTTAAGTTCCCGGCGAGGGCACGTTATCACTGCAAAAATCTACTTCTGTGCGCATGGACAACTTCGGCTGTGCAGCCATCCGGGCCGTGCCTGGGCAGGACTGCCCAAGCCTTTGCCAGCCTTCCCGAGAGCCGCCAAGCACATGTGCCACGGCGACACTTGCAGAGCGCCGCGTTCTCGGATTTCCCAGGCGGCCAAGCGCCAGCCCCGCGGCACCCCGGCTGGGGGTGCAGGGGTGAGAATTTGCTCTTTGCTTGCAGAACATACGAGGGTGCCCAACAAACGCATACGCACAGGTATACCCACACTCCCTGCAAGCTGTCAGACCCACGCTCACATGCATCTTGTTCCCAGTTCCATCTGCCCAACGTCCTAACTTGCCACAAGCTCCCCCACAGACGCAGCCGGCCCCACTCTGCTCTGTGGGGAAAGCCGCGCTCATCTCTCGGCCGGCCGATCACCGCGCGCCCTCCATTCACACAGAGCAAGCAGTGCCTGCGAGCACGAGCAGGCCGGGCGTGAGACCCGGGCGAGACGGTGCCGGCAGTCTCAAACATCACCCGGTCCTCCGTCCAAACACCCACACGTTCCAGACCAACGTTTGAGTGAAGAGGCCGTGTGTGGGATCCGCAACCGACTGCCTCTTCCAGCAAGGACTCAGGGCTGCTACTTGGCTGGCGAGGCGGACTGCTGGTCAGGCAGGGTTGTTGAAGCCTGGGAACAGACGGCCATCGTTTGGGCCCCTGAGAAGACAGGCTGCGCTGGGAGAAAAGGACGAGTTGCCGGGGGACTTGGAAGGCATGCGGAGACTTCCCCATCGGAACCAGTGGATTCTGGGGGTGGAACTCTTGGGAAAGGCAGAGCTCGGGCCCCGACCCGCTAGCCAGAAGCTTCCCTGAGCGGGTCACAAGATTTTGCTTTCTTTATAGGAAAGACGCTGCCCCCCTTTGATGGCGCGTTGCCAAGGGGTGGCCAGAAACAGAACTGTGGGCAGACAGACATGTGCAGGGGAGTAACTTCCGCTACGTCTTGAACACAATCCAGCCACTGTGGCTCCCCGAGGGCAGGACCAACTGCAGATCTGAACACAAGCCGGAGGTTGGCCGGCGTCTGCACCCTCCCAAATTTGCAACATGATGCACACCACAATAGCAACGCATTCAAAATGTATGTGAAAGATGCAAACATTCAAAATGGCTCACAAACATGCTTTAATCAATGGGACGAAAATGTAGACAATCCCCCAAAACCCACAACTGATGTGCACAACTGGGGAAATACCCACAAAATACACACACATTGTCATGAGAGAAGGAAAACAGAAACTCAGATCCTGACATGGGCGCAGACCAAATGAGCCTCGGGTGGGAAATGGGGAACCCACGAAGACCGAACTGGGCGGTCACACAGGATGGCCCTGCAGACTCGCTTCTTCCTGGGCAAGGCTGGCAGCGAGCGGCTTCAAGCCCCCTCCACTGCGCCTGACTGGCGTATTTCATTTATACTCCCCTTGTTTTCCTTCCGGGAATTGCTGGCGTCTTACACGGTCCTCCTCCTCACAAGAACCCTGTGAGGTGGGCCGGGCTGGCTGTCTGTGGCTGGCCCAGAGTCCCCCGGGGAGCAACGTGGCCGAGTGGAGCCTAGAACCCGGATCTCCTCGCTCCCAGTCTTACGCACGCACTGTCTTCCTCCAGTCCGACTCCCTCACCACTGCACCAGCTTGCTTGCTTCATGCGCTCATTTAAAGTTTTTCTGTGCTGTTCCATCACTGAAAGAGTCTCTGGACGGCTTGCAAAGAACAAGCTTCGGGGCTTTGGGCCCCAGCTGCTCCTCTGCTGCGTGGCCAGAGAGATGGGCGTGGAGACCTCTGGGGAATGCCTGGTCGCTTCCTGTGCTGGGGAGGCACAATCTGCAAGCCCAGCAGCCGCCGTGCTGCTCGAAAGCGCATGGATTCCCGTCCGAATCAAGGGAAGGAGTGAGGAAACGGCTCTGAAGTGGGAGCAAACCTTCCCGCTCAGCGCACAGCCGGAGAGAGGCCCGTCCGGCACCTGGGCCTCATGCAAGCCGCCTGACGGGGTGATAAAGTGCGGGCGAGAAGGGCCAACCTCCGCCTCACCTCGCACAGAAAATGGCAGCCCGGGCGCACGGCGCCCGAGCTCCCGCCGCATGCCACTGGCTCGGTGGCTGGCAGCCAGCCAGGGAGCACTTCTTCCGGGCTGGGCTGCCGCCCTCCGACACCCATGGGGACTCTCGGCCGGTCGGCTTCGTGCTGGCAGCGCCCCAGGAAGCATTGGTGGCGCTTCTGTGCCAGAAGAAGTATTCTTGGAGCAGAGGGGCCGGTGGTGCGGGGAGCTGTGCGGAATCACAAGAGCAAAGGCGGATCTGCGTCATCTTGGAAGGGCCCCGAGGTGGGGTGACGGCCACAGCCGCCGGCTCAGGATCCCGTTGCCCCCAGAGGCTCTGCCGTGGAAGGATCACGCGGCGGCCACTGAAGGGCGTCTGCCTGCCCATCCCAGGAAGAAGCCTCCTTGGTGCGGAGTTTGGGGTTCAGTCGCTCTTGCTAATAGCTATGTCACATTGCTATTTAATGACCTTTAAAACAGACCGTAAACCACCCTTCCTCCAGGAGGGATTCCAGGGCACAAGAATTCAGCACCAGAAGGGCGATTTTTAAAAACAACCGATTACCCATCGTGACAATAACAACAGACAGCGGGAAAGGTAACGCAACGACCCGCAAGAGCAGCACAAGACAACCCAGGAACGCCTGCACGGGAAGAAATGTGTCTGAAAGGAGCCGGTGCCGGATGAGCGCCCAACCTGAGGAAGAGATGGGCCTGGGAGGCAGCTGAGTCTGTGGAGAGCAGAGATGCGGAACGTGTGGGCCTCCGGATGGGCTTGTGCTGCATCTCCCATCGGCCTGTGCTGAGGTGTGGAGGGAGCTGCAGGCCACAGACTCCTGGGGCCACGCCAGAGCTGTTCCGCCTGACCCAGGCGGGTATCCTCCCGATGTGCTGGACGACAGCTCCCATCATTCCCGAGCAGGGTTGGGAAGGGTCTCCTGACTCCGGAGGACAGCTTCCCAGGTCCCTATTGTGGGGACGGGCCAAGGCGCCACCCCCTAGCCCCCCCCCTCTGGGCCTGGGGCAGCGTCCGTGCGTTGCCGCAGCTCCTCAACCGCCTCCACGGCCTCGGATCTCCCCAGCACTCACCGTCATCGCAGAGGTTCAGTTTGGACGCGTTCTTTCCCTCAGGCAGCTCCTCGAGGATGGACCCGTTCTCTCTCTCGCCCAAGGTGTGCAGGTACATGGCCTTGTTCTCCATCCCTGTCTCTGCGGGTGGCACACAGAGCGCTCAGTGAGAAGCTGGCAGGGGGTCCCGGGGACCGTGAGGCAGGGGCTGAGAAGCCCGCTCGGGGTGGCGAGGGGCGCGAAAGAGTCAGGGCGATGCCGTGCGCGGGACGCGGCCGCACGTGGGTGACCCCCGGCTCCCCAAAGAGAACAGAGGGAGAGTCGGAGGGGGCCGAGAGGACCCTCGAGACCCCCCCCCCACTCCTCCTCTGCGTGTGGCCACCCAGCGGGCTGCAGGCCTGCAACTTTCCAGCTGAGCAGCCCGCGGGCAAATGCATGTTTCCGGCGTGTGGCTGCAGGGGGCTGGGCATGTCCCATCTAAGCTGCACAGCATCACACTCTGGTGCGTCTCTTTCATGTCTCCTTCACGGAATCATCGTGCTGGAAGGGGCCCAGGAGGCCATCTGGTCCCGCTCCCGGCCCTGTGCGGGACTCAGGTCTCCCACCCAGATGCTAACCAGCCCTGACCCTGCTTAGCGGCCAGGATCAGGCAGGATCAGGCCCTGCGGGCTGTATGGCAGCTGGGCTCCAGCCAGACCTCCCGGAAGCTCACGGCAGGGTAGAGCATTGTCGCTGCGGCCGCAGCCCCTAGAGCCACACACGCACCGCCGTCTACTCTCCGGTCTGTCCAAAGGCACGTGGATTGAACCCGCCCACTTCTGTGCGCGCATCACGTGCTCTGCCACGGGGCCACGGCTGCTCCCTGCCGCAGAACGCAAGCCTTGCCCCAAGACCTCCCCTTAGGACGCGGGCTTTGGCACCTCAGACGGGGCAGCGCTCAGGGGAGGCTCATCCAGGAGTCCTTAACCCCCCTTGCTGGGCTGCCGCTCCTGCCCCCCAGCCCCCCTCGGGCACACTGGGCTGCAGTCTCCTCCTCGGCCAGGCTGGGCTCGGCACCGTTCCGCACGCCGGAGAGAGGCACCCGCTCGCCTCCAGCCAGGAGCACCGCGGGGGCGGGGGCCGGACGCTCGTGAGGAGCCACGTGTCCCACGGGCCGGGCAGGGGCTGTGAAGCCCCCAGGCGCTTGGCACCAACACGGAGCCAAACCAAGCCGGGGCAGGGGTGAACCAGGGGCGTGTCCCCCCCACTGTTATGCGGCTGCAGGGAGCCGGTGCGCAAGGGGACGTGGCTTGGTGCAAAGCATGCGCTTCACAGGAGTCCGGGCTCACCCTCGCCTCCTGGGCATCTCCAGTGCAAAGGGGAAGATTCGTTCATTTGATGAATCTGCTTAGGGAACGTTTACCCCATTCTTCACCCAAACAAGGCCCTCAAGAGTGGCCTGCCCCAGAGCAATCCTAAACCAATCCCTGCCCTCAAGTTTGCATCTAAAAGACGTGGCAGAAAAAGAAAAGAGTGGGGAGAGGGGAAAAGCAGCCAAGGTCAGGCCGCAGGTCATGTTTTCCCGGCAGGACCTTCCGTCCTCCTCAGGCTACATCGCCTGGGGAGCCCTTGGGCTCTCTCACACGAGGCATCCACGGCGAAAGGGGGCAGCGCTCTGAGAGGGGTGGCGTGCACTGGTGTCCTGCACCAGCGGGGCTTGGACCCGCGGGCCTCCCTGGCCCCGTCCAGCTCTGCGGTTCTGCGGTTCCATAACTGAAGGGACTGGCCGGAGGCTGTTGTTGACCCGGCCTCTTTGGGGTTCTGCTGCTGGGCAGCAACTTCTCCTAACCTCGTGCAGGGCTCCACTTGCGCGTCTCACGGTCTGAGCTTTGCGGCAGTGAAGTGAGCGGGAAAGGATCTGGGGGCGGTTGTGGCAACGCAGCACAAAAGTCGGCCCAGCGCGTAGCTGCTCTGCAGAAGGCAGGCTCCCTACTGGGCATCTTCAGGGGTGGAGCAGACAATAGAGCTGACAAGATCCCACTTCCCTTACACCAAGCATTGGTGCGATTCTGCTTGGAATACAGTTCTGGCCACCTTGCCTGAAGGAAGGCATTGACTTGGAAGAAACACAGAAACAGAGCGAGTCAGAAGGGGCCTCCCGGGCCATCTAGTCTGACCTCCGGCACCAGCCGGCTCCGCTCACGACATGCCCACCATGTGCACGTCCAGCCTGTCCTTGGACACCCGCACCGATGGGGCCTCAACAACCTCCCAAGGAAGCCCATTCCACACCCTCGGGGTCCCGACGGTCAGGAAGTGCTTCCTGGCATCCAAACGAAACCTTGGCTCCCTGAGCTTGGCTCCGTTGGAGCGCGTCCTGCCTTCCTCTGCAGGGGAGAACAGGTCTCTCCCCACCTCCGTGTGACACCCCCTCACATATCTGTATGTCGCCAACAGATCCCCTCGGAGTCTCCTGCAGGCGGAAGAGACCCAGTTCCCTCCGTCTCGCCTCATACGGCATCCCCTGCAAACCGGCCACCAACCTTGTGGCCCTGCGCTGCACTGACTCCAACCTGGCTATATCCTTCCTGTAATGAGGGGCCCAAAACTGAGCACAAGGCTCCAGTTGCGGGCGCACCAGAGTCATGTAGAGTGGTAGTAATACCTCTCTCGATCTAGAAGCCACACTTCTGGCTATGCAACCACGGGTGGTGTTCGCCCTCTTGGCCACCACATCGCACTGCTGGCTCATGTTCAGCCTGCAGTCAACCAGCACCCTGAGGTCCCTTCCACAAGTGCTGCTCTCCAGCCACTTGCCCCCTAACCTGTACTTATGACACCCATTCCTATGCCCCAAGTGCAAGACCTTGCACTTTTCCACATTGAACGCCATCCTGTTGTCTCCTGCCCACTTCCACAGTCTGTCCAGATCCTTTTGGATCTGGAGTACCTGCTCCTTAGTTGTGGTCACTGCTCCAGTTTTAGTGTCGTCTGCAAATTTGATCAGCAGACTGTTCACCCCTTCTTCCATGTCGTTAATGAAAAGATTAAGCAGGATCAGCCCCTGGGGGACCCCGCTTGTCACTGGCCGCCATCCCCACGATTCCCTGCTCATGGCTACCCTCTGCTTTCGGTCAGTCAGCCATGCCCTAATCCACCGGACAGTGCTTTGGTGTATCCCAAAACTCCCCAGTTTCTCCACCAGGATATCATGGGGCACTTTGTCAAAGGCCTTGCTGAAATCCAGGTAAACCATCATCCACTGCATCCCCTCCATCCAGCCATCTCGAAACCGTGTCATAGAATCCCACATGGTTTGTCTGGCAGGACCTGTTTTTGCGGAAGCCGTGTTGTGTGGCTGCCAGCCTCCCTTCCCTATCTAGCATCACTAGATCTCTCTCCATTATGAGCCTTTCCATTGTTTTTCCTACAATGGGCTTAAGGCTAACCAGTCTATAATTCCCCTTGACCTTTCTACTATCCTTTTTGAAAATTGGGACCACTGATGCCACCCTCCAGTCCTCTGGAACTTCACCCGTTCTACACAAGGCCTCAAAAATGGAGGCCAGCGGGCGTGAGAGAACCCCTGGCAACTCTCTTAAGTACTCTCGGGTGTAACCCATCAGGGCCTGGCGCCTTTGTAATGTCCAATGCCCTGAGGAGCCCCTCGACTTCAAGGGGGGTGACTCTTATCTGTGCCCCTAAGTCCCCGGCCTCATCTAATCTCCTGTGCGGATCTCCCCCGTCCTGCTTTGGGGAGAACACAGAGGCAAAACAGTCATTTAGCCTCTGTGCCTGTTCCCTCATGTCAGTCACAAGTACAGAGAAGGGCGACAAAAATGATCCGGGGACTCCAGAAGCCCCCCTGGGGAAGCGGCTACGACAACTGGAATTGTTCAGCTTTGGGAAAGGGTGAGGACAGGGAGACAGGACAGATGTTACGGGTTAGACTGTGTGGACTTTCCTCCTGTTTCCTATCTATATGGCTGTATTTATATTGTATTTTAATTTTATTGTGTTCTATGGTTGTTTGCCATTGTTATTTATTTTTATCTGTATTTTGTATACAATGCACTATAAGCCGCCTAGAGAGCCTCCGGCTATGGGGTGGCATACAAATGCAATAAACAAACAAATAAATGTGTTTACAATAATGCTTGGTGTGGAGAAAGTAGAGAGTGAGACATTTTCCCTTCTCCCCAAACACTCAGACTTGGCATCATCCCAAGTAGCTGATTGCTGGGAGGTTTAGGAAAGAGAAAAGCAGCGCTTCTTGGCATGGGTTGCAGTTAACTATGGAATTTGCTCTCCTGGGAAGTGACGACGGCCACCAATCTGGATGGCTTTAAAAAGGGACGGGACAGATTGATGAGGGAGGAGGCCGCCCGTGGCTACTAGCCCTGCTGGCCCTGGGCTCCCTCCTTGACCGGGGGCCGCATGCCTGCCCACGCACGCCAGTGGCTGGGGAGCTGGGCAGTGGAGGCCTTGCACCCGTCCTGCTGCAGGGCTCCTGGGGGCAGCCGGGTCGCCTCCGGGGGTGCCGAGCGCTGGGCTGGGTGGGCCTCGCGTCGGATCCTGCAGGACTCTTCTTGCGTTATCATGCCCTTAAAAGATCTCCCTTTGAGGTTTCCCCTGAAAAACCCCGCTCCACCTGGCAGGAGGTGTGTGTGTGTGGGGGGGGGGGCCTTTTGCCGCAAAATCCTCAGAGAAGGAAATGAGAGGGGATGCGCACGGGCCGCTCTTCCAGGTGCCACGACACCTGCTCGTGCGCCCTCGTGAAGCGTGACCACAGTGCCGGGAAGGGGCGTGCAGGAGGCAGCAGCTGCCGCGAGAAGCCCTCGCCCCCTTCCAGGCGCGCCCCGCGGGTCCTTCCATCGCTCAGATGGCTGCGTGCGGCTACGCGAGGGCATGCCAGAGGGTGCCCGGGGGCCGGGTGAGTCCTCCGAGCGCAGGTAGGCCGCCCAGGTGCCAGCACGGGGCAGTGCCCCCGCCCCCGCCCCGCGGCAGCCCGGGGCGCCACTCACCTGCAGCCCAGGCGCGCGACCCGCGGGCGGCGCTCGGTCTCTGCCAAGGGCCGGGCTCCGGGCTCCGGGCTCCGGCGAGCGGAGGCAATCGGCGGGTCGTCCTCCCGGCCAAGGGGTTTCCTCCCGGCCG